CACCCCCACCACCACTTTAAACCCTGTTACCAACAACCCTTCTCTATCTCCAATAAGAGTTTGGAAATATGTGATATCAAAATTTTACTTTCTGCACAAAAAATGTACGTATTAAACATGTCGCAACATTTCAAGACCAACTGGTCCCTTTGTCAAGCTATGACCGAGTGTATACCCCTTCTTTAGTTTGTCCTCACTCTTGTCCCCTCCTCTCTTTTTTTTCTCTTCCCACTACGCACTGGGACTGTACGTAGTTGACACCCCTTCCCACTATATACTGGGACTGTAGTTGACACCCCTTCCCACTTTATACTGGGACTGTAGTTGACACCCCTTCCCACTACATACTGGGACTGTAGTTGACACCCCTTCCCACTTTATACTGGGACTGTAGTTTACACCCCTCCCCACTATGTACTGGGACTGTAGTTGACACCCCTTCCCACTTTATACTGGGACTGTAGTTGACACCCCTTCCCACTACGTACCCGGACTGTAGTTGACACCCCTTCCCACTACGAACTGGGACTGTAGTTGACACCCCTTCCCACTTTATACTGGCACTGTAGTTGACACCCCTTCCCACTTTATACTGGGACTGTAGTTGACACTCCTTCCCACTTTATACTGGGACTGTAGTTGACACCCCTGCCCACTACGTACTCGGACTGTAGTTGACACCACTTCCCACTACGTACTCGGACTGTAGTTGACACCACTTCCCACTACGTACTCGGACTGTAGTTGACACCCCTTTCCACTACGTACTCGGACTGTAGTTGACACCCCTTTCCACTACGTACTCGGACTGTAGTTGACACCCCTTCCCACTACATACGCGGACTGTAGTTGACACCCCTTCCCACTACGTACTGGGACTGTAGTTGACGCCCCTTCCCACTTTATACTGGGACTGTAGTTGACACTCCTTCCCACTTTATACTGGGACTGTAGTTGACACCCCTGCCCACTACATACTGGGACTGTAGTTGACACCCCTTCCCCCTATGTACTGGGACTGTAGTTGACACCCCTTCCCGCTTTATACTGGGACTGTAGTTTACACCCCTCCCCACTATGTACTGGGACTGTAGTTGACCCCCCTTCCCACTTTATACTGGGACTGTAGTTGACCCCCCTTCCCACTTTATACTGGGACTGTAGTTTACACCCCTCCCCACTATGTACTGGGACTGTAGTTGACCCCCCTTCCCACTATGTACTGGGGCTGTAGTTGACACCCCTTCCCACTACGTACTCGGTTTGTAGTTGACACCCCTTCCGACTACGTCCTCGGACTGTAGTTGACACCCCTTCCCACTACATACTGAGACTGTAGTTGACACCCCTTCCCACTACGTACCCGGACTGTAGTTGACACCCCTTCCCACTACGCACTGGGACTGTAGTTGACCCCCCTTCCCACTATGTACTGGGGCTGTAGTTGACACCCCTTCCCACTACGTACTGGGACTGGAGTTGCCACCCCTTCCCACTATGTACTGGGTCTGTAGTTGACACCCCTTCCCACTTTATGCTGGGACTGTAGTTGACACCCCTTCCCACTTTATACTGGGACTGAAGTTGACACCCCTTCCCACTACATACTGGGACTATAGTTGACACCCCTTCCCACTTTATACTGGGGCTGTAGTTTACACCCCTCCCCACTATGTACTGGGACTGTAGTTGACCCCCCTTCCCACTATGTACTGGGGCTGTAGTTGACACCCCTTCCCACTACGTACTCGGTTTGTAGTTGACACCCCTTCCGACTACGTCCTCGGACTGTAGTTGACACCCCTTCCCACTACATACGCGGACTGTAGTTGACACCCCTTCCCACTACGCACTGGGACTGTAGTTGACCCCCCTTCCCACTATGTACTGGCACTGTAGTTGACACCCCTTCCTACTATGTACTGGGACTGTAGTTGACACCCCTTCCCAGTACGTACTGGGACTGTAGTTGACACCCCTTCCCTCTATGTACTGGGACTGTAGTTGACTCCCCTTCCCACTTTATACTGGGACTGTAGTTGACACTCCTTCCCACTTTATACTGGGACTGTAGTTGACCCCCCTTCCCACTTTATACTGGGACTGTAGTTGACACCCCTGCCCACTACGTACTCGGACTGTAGTTGACACCACTTCCCACTACGTACTCGGACTGTAGTTGACACCACTTCCCACTACGTACTCGGACTGTAGTTGACCCCCCTTCCCACTACATACTGGGACTGTAGTTGACACCCCTTCCCCCTATGTACTGGGACTGTAGTTGACACCCCTTCCCGCTTTATACTGGGACTGTAGTTGACGCCCCTTCCCACTACATACTGGGACTGTAGTTGACCCCCCTTCCCACTATGTACTGGGGCTGTAGTTGACACCCCTTCCCACTACGTACTGGGACTGGAGTTGCCACCCCTTCCCACTATGTACTGGGTCTGTAGTTGACACCCCTTCCCACTTTATGCTGGGACTGTAGTTGACACCCCTTCCCACTTTATACTGGCACTGTAGTTGACACCCCTTCCCACTTTATACTGGCACTGTAGTTGACACCCCTTCCCACTTTATACTGGCACTGTAGTTGACACCCCTTCCCACTTTATACTGGGACTGAAGTTGACACCCCTTCCCACTATATACTGGGACTGTAGTTTACACCCCTCCCCTCTACGTACTGGGACTGTAGTTGACACCCCTTCCCAGTACGTACTGGGACTGTAGTTGACACCCCTTCCCAGTACGTACTGGGACTGTAGTTGACACCCCTTCCCATTCGTCTCCTCCCATCCTGTCCCTTCTATTCTCCTCCTCCATTTTGCCCCTCTGTTACATTTATTCTGAACCCTTTATCCCACTTTCATCCTCTCCATTTCTCCCCACTGGTAACCTGGGACCTGGTTAGTAGGCAAGCTCACATCAATGAAATATGTGTTTTTGTCAAAGCTCATTTAAACTGCATTAACAGTATCCATCCTGGTAAAATATTGGCTCTTAGTGTAATTTTCTCACCAATTTATCTTCCTTATAGCTGTGTAGTCTGGTTTAAATTTGACATTTTAAAATTTGGTACAAATTAGTTACAAAGTGTGGCATGAGCAAAACTTTTGGTGAAAAAGGAAGAGAAAATTATCATTACCAGCTAAATGTTTCTGGGTTGATTATATTTAGATACATTGTATCATGTTATTGCTGGTCTGTTATACTTGCATCTGGTCATACAATGTAGATATGTCATCCGAGTGCTGTAATTGTGCTGTTTACGGGCTACTACATCTACCCATTGTTCTGTAGTTGTTATTATCTCCCATGACTAAGATCAGTGTATGAATACATGTACTGTAGTGTTCAGTCACATGTGTACCACTAGATATTTCACATCTGTATTTTTGCAAGAAAGCAACTTTTGGATTACACTGCATTAGGTGTGATTGGTAATGCAGACGGTGGGACCTACAGACTGTAGATTATGGTAGCATACAGGTTTTGATACACTGGTTGTGTTACTATTTATTCATTTAAACAACTTTATGGAAACAAACAACACACTCTTTGTAAACAAACTGTATTGTGAGTTGATTTTTATGCCCCCCTCCATAAAATTGGCAGGGGCGTATTATTATTGTTGCCCATGTCCAGCCCGTCCCGTCCTGTCTCGTCCTGTCCCGTAGCGTCCCGTCCTGATTCAATGTAAACACTTAGCAACTTCATTCTTTTTATGGATTTTGGTCAAACTTCATTCTTTCACTGATTTTCATCGAACTTTATACAAAGGTCAAGTATGAGTATACCCGGATATTGTTGTGTTTTAGGGTTCCAAGGTCAAGACCATGGTCATGATTGCTTTATAAAGAAAACTATCAACCAATTCAGTGTCATCACTCTAGCTTTTTCATTTCTTAACAGATTTTGACGAAAGTTTATACACAGAATACCTCGGACATTGTGTTTGTGTTTCAAGGTCCCAAGGTCAAGGCCAACATTTTTCAGAGTATCAAGATTAAAGTGGTTGTAACTATTTATAGAACATCAAACACTGAAACTAATTTCACATGGCGGCGGGGGCATTCATGTCTTACAGACATTTTCAAGTTTTGTATATTATTTCAATACTAGGTCAAAGACTGTTCCTTAAATAGCCACCATAATTTAACTGTAACTTCAAGGAAGCATATCCAATAGTTTCATGATGTTATGAGAACAATGTTAAACTGGTGTCCAGTAAGAGTTTATTTTATCACATTCCAGGGCTGTATGAACAACATCACCTTTGGTGACGAAGCATTTGGACACTATGAGACGGTGGCTGGAGGAGCAGGGGCAGTAAGTATACAGATCATCACACATTCATGTCAGGGGAGATAATCTGCTGATAAAGGAACGAAAGCCCCCCTACAGGTATCATACCAGAGGTTTTTCCATTAACTTCCATGTTAGGTAACATCTTTATATCACCATTTTCCTGCTCTCATCCTGACACCTTAGCTACACATAACAGCTTATCAACTTTCTGTCACAAAACTATTACTGTTATCTGTATGGGCAAGACCAATGTGATTTCCCAGAAGCTGTTTCTAGATACTACAACATTTGTTATCCAGTCAGCTGGTCACAGTCTCCAAGGTATTACAATGTGGTTGTGTCTTCCATCAATCTAATCGCAGATACTGATACAAGTCAGGGGAGATAACCTTTGTGATAAGGGAGATAACATTATATTCCATAAATAAGTGCTACTTTGCAAATGTTTTAAGGAGTTTTGGTGGGCATCTTATTTTTAACAAAGAGAGAGAGAGTGAAGTACAGAGGTAAGGATATCAACAAACCCTCTTCATTGCAACAGAACCCGCCTTATTTGGATAGAATCTTCCCAACAAGGACAAAACCCCTACACATGTACTTACATAAAGAGCAGCAGCAATTAATTATCAACATGAAGAAAGGGATTACTCTAGGTGCTTTAGAGGCAAAGGCCTAACACATGGGGATGGTGTGTCACTGTCCGAGAAATAAGATAAAATGGGCTTTTGTCCTATCCAAGTTGCATGGGTAAATATACTTGGATAAAAAAAACAACTTGTGACAAGTGGTGTATTTAAGGTAGCCATGTTAGTTATAATGAAGTTTGACTGGAGCTATGACCACACACAGCCAACACTACATATCTTAGTGACCGTGTCACAGTGACCTACATTCCACCAATTACAGAGGTCTGTGTGTGGTTACCTATCGGCCACTATGTTGATATATACTTATGACAATCATTATGTATGCTTGTCTGTAATTAGTATTACTGTTGTCCAAAGGATCAAGTCAACATACACCAATAAACAAATAATATACATGTATAAAATTAGGTCATGTTGACCTACTTTGATATAGCCAATTTTTCAGTATATTGTACTAGGTTTTGTACATGTATTCCAGTATTGTGTTAAATTTGCTTATCTTTGTATCTTTAGGTTATCTTTATATCTTTACATGTATAAATGTTAAAAACAGATAAACATACTAACATTTTAATAATCATTGCAAAGAACAGACATCATAGCGCTGTAAATTACAACTGGATCATTGCTATACAGAATTCACAGAATTTACAAATTCATTTAATTACGAACAGTTATTTTCAATTCATGAGAAACCTGGTGAATTCTGTACAATGTTGAAGTAAATCCCTGACTTAGAACCGTCGTTCTGGTCAAATCTCGCCTGTCATCTATCACCTTATGAATGTAATAACAACACGTAGCAGACTGAAGGTTGTAGAGCTTTGTGGTAAATCTGTGGAGATGAATTAATCCCGGCACCCTATCACCTGAATCGGGTAACCATTGCCATACCTATCTGATGAGCTCTCCATTACTGACTGCAATTCATTGACATTTTTCTTTGTGTGTTCTGCTGCAGAATGATTTGTCTCAAGTGCTATCTCAAATTGAGCCAGTAGGTACAAAATCCTTCACATTTTATCGTAACTCAATGTATATTCAGGCTAAATCTGTTGCATTGAAGTGATGCTGGGTCTTTTTCTTCTTTTTTTTTGTCGTAAAAATAGTGAAGTGCCGAGAAGAACTTTAAATGTTTAATGAGGAGATGTTTAATTAATTATATCTCCATGGCAATCTTAGGATGTGGTTGTCAAATAGTGGGGTCTGGTTTCCTTTGAAGTTAAAGCATTTTGGTTTGATGGGGAACTTTGAATTGTAAACAATTTACTTTGAGGGTGAATGGTGTCTTACAAATAACATCAAATTACAGTCAGTGGTGCATGAGACAGACAGATTTTGGGGCTGCTACATGAACAATTGAGAGAGAGCTACATGTGATATCTACTGTTGCTACATGGACAATTGAGAAGGCGGATTCATATTGTTTTACTTATCTATTACCTGTGGAGTGTGGTAGACCTAGATCATCCCATTAAATCTAGGGCTGTAGGATTACAAAATATCTATCATGTAGGAGTGTGGGAGATACCAACATTCCAACCGAATACTGTCTGCATTATGGTCTACCTGCTATAGCGTAATTATAACATGGTCTGAATATAACCTCCATCAGATGGTTCTATCTTACACCCACAGGTAGGGTCACATAGATATTATACTGGTGAACAAATAATTTACCTGGTCATGAATATGACATCTTCAAAAGCTAAGGGTTCAGCTCCCGGTACACAATCTTTACACCTTTGGAATATGTCACGATCCAAGATGTCCTGACAAAATCAAAGTCACTTACTTAGCTTTTCAATTGGTTTTATGTAATAAGAAGCTGACCACTTGCTTGGGTGATACATGTCTTTTGAAGATTACAGAGGAAATACACCGGTCTCAAAGCATACCTTCTCTAAACACTCGTGGAATACATGTATGTCATGACAAAATCAAAGTCACTCATGATCAGTTAGTTGGCTATTTGATTGGTTTTAGGTATACAAAAATGACCAGTTGCTAGGTTGATGCTTGTCTTTTGAGGATTACAAGGGAGTGACACCTGACTTCAAAGCTGGTCAATTTCACTGTTACGCTGCTGCATGATTCATTTTGATATGCATCAACCGATACTTGTGCCATCTGAAGTTGTAAATATGTAATCACAATAAAAACAATGAAAAGATAAGACATTTCATTTAAGTTATGAATCTTGTTTTGGTGCAGTTCGTGGGGTCATGAATGAAGTTGGATTGAAGACATTACCAGTAATAAACTACAAAGTAATTCATGTTGACCAGCTTTTTAATCATGGGAGTAAAGTAGAAAGTTTTCTAAAAACATTCCAGTATTCTTGACATGAAATTTAATTATGTTTATGAAATATGACATCAGATACGTCGGGTAAATAGATTTTAACTGTATCATAGCTTTTCAAACTTTCTTGATTAAGTACATGTAAGAAACATCTAAATATGCAATGTTAATTAGTGAGTTAATATGATTTCTCTGGTATTGTTTCCAAGGCTACAGAATTAAAACTTACATCAATGACAATTTAAGTATGAAGAGCAAGGAAAGTGCCAATTTATATATATTTCCCCAAATTATGACAATTTTTGGTATATTTTTGTAGCTTAGGCAGGCAGACACACCTGGTTTTGTTTTGTGCTGGAATGTCGGATTGCCAGCTCTATGTGTAGACAACATGCTCCTAATTCAGTCCCTGCTTATTAGCAATCATTAATGTCCAAATACATCACAAATTCACATTTTCATATACTTTTGAACTCTCCACGCTGCAATGAAACAGAGCCATGTGTTATATTTATTTTTGACTAGTAAGGTTTTTAAAATGTAAAAGGTTTTTGTGGTTATCCTATGGTTTGTATAATTACAGCCTGTTCAGCAGCTGTCTGGCAGATCCAAAGGTCCACAGGCTAATATATGTCTTCACAAAAACCTGAAAGGAAGCAAAAGTACAAGCGAACATTTACAGTAAAATGTTAGAGAACTTACAAATTGGATTTCAACCACAACAAAGTTAAATATTTAATACAAAACTTTCATTGAGTCTGACAAAAAGATATCAAATTGTACAGAACATAGAACATTGCCTATTAAAGGAACCATCTAAAAATGTTTTCCTGTTTATAAATAACATGATTCTCTTTTTTTCATGTGAATATGCATTGTTTTATATCTAAACTCCTTACAGGGTGCGACTTGGGACGGAAGGAGCGGAGTCCACAGTCACATGACCAACACGCGGATCACAGACGTGGAGATTCTGGAGAGGAGGTTAGACAAGTTTCTACATATCTAACACTTTTTTTTCTCACTTCAGAAACGTAGATTCTTAACATCAAGCAGACAACCTTACACAATTTGGCCTGAGGCATTCAAAACTTTGATATATTGCTTAAAAAACCAAAAAGGCAATAACACAGGTCAGAAACAAGTGACTAGAAGCATGGTTCACCACTATGACAAGAATCAACATACATTTGTACTTTAACGTTCATAAGGAAACTTAGTCTGGGTCCCCAGTGCCTTGTCATTAACATGGTGTCACTGTACAGTTTATAAGGGAACTTAGTCTGGGTCCCCAGTGCCTTGTCATCAACATGGTGTCACTGTACAGTTTATAAGGAAACTTCATCTGGGTCCACAGTGCCTTGTCATCAACATGGTGTCACTCTACAGTTTATGAGGAAACTTAATCTGGGTCCCCAGTGCCTTGTCATCAACATGGTGTCACTGTACAGTTAATATGGAAACTTAGTCTGGGTCCCCAGTGCCTTGTCATCAACATGGTGTCACTGTACAGTTAATATGGAAACTTAGTCTGGGTCCCCAGTGCCTTGTCATCAACATGGTGTCACTCATGTACAGTTTGCGGAACACATGGTTTCTTAGGACTTTTCTGTCGTGTAAGGAATAATATAAGTTTTGTATACTACAATTTGTACCTTGGCTCTTTGTAGGTATCCTGTAATTGTGAAGCGGTTTCACCTCAGTCCTGGAACTGGAGGTAGGGGGCAGCACCGTGGTGGTGATGGCGTAATACGAGAGTACCTGTTCAGAAAGAGTCTGACACTCTCTATACTGACCGAGAGGAGAGTATTCAGGCCCTATGGACTCGAGGGTGAGTATATATACCAGATATTTACACAGGGACTTGTATATAGACCAGATATATACACAGGGGGCTGTCTACATAGTCTCCTGTGAATTATTTTAAGTGACACCAGGGCTGTTTAATGTGTGACTTTAGTCTGTTTTAGTAAAAGGTTGAGCATTATATCAACTTAGTGCTCATATTTCCAATACAGCAAGCAAAGGAACAACATCCTGTTAAATGATACTCTATAGCTGTTGTCTAAATGTATTGTATACCAAGATACCAATTAGGCTACAAGGATGAAATTCTTTGGCTTGTCAGTTCAATGAAACATGTTCAGATTAAAAATAACTATCAAGGCATTCATTTGGTGTCATCAAAGATTCTTAAATTGTAATTATTGAAAAATAATTGGACATAAAATTTGTTATTTTGTACTTGATATGATTCAATATGATTTATGTCGGTGTTTATATGATAAAAGAATAGCTGTAAAGAAGGAGTTAGTGTCTAATCGAATGTCTTCAGTTGGATAGCGTGGTCCTACATTTATTACGCACATATTGGTATAAAACGCTTACTGGATAAATTGAAGCAGGGTAAAATATGCTTTGTGACATTTATTCGTGTGTGTTGTGTTAGGTGTTCAGCACTCTCTGAATCAGAACAATGAGATAGTGTGTTTAACAGAATGCTGATGCTTATAATAGTTCTAAAACCGTTACATTGACATAATACATTTAGATTTTTACATAATGTGAAGAATTTTGGAATTTTTCTCTCCTCTGTAATTACTTTGGGTTAAGGGATTTAGATGGTAATGGTATGGGGCCCTTAGTGACCCGGTGATCTGCAGCTCTGTAGGGGCTTTATCACACTCTCAGGGGGCACAAGTGGTTATGGGATATTTCCATATGGAGGGGTAAATAAATGTGAGAAAACCTCTAAACACTCTGCAGGAAGGTGTTCAGTGTTATTTCTTATCAATTATTTTATGAAACATTGACATGATTTATTATAAGTACGCTCTTCAGTATTCTACTTTAGTAATATTTGACACAAATATAAACATGTACAGGATATATACAAAACACAAGATATTCCAGTTAAAACGTGCATCTTTTCAAGGATTAAAATAAACAGCAATTTAAATGTTGTGTCTTGTATGATAAGAAAATAGAGAGAGATTTGATTATACTTCTTTCAAACTTGGATAACATTTATGTCACAGTTGGTGATGATTTGATGAATTGGTAAGGAATTAAACCTACCTAGAATGGTCTGTGAGATAGATCCCAGTGTGACAGGACTGGTGTGTTAAAGTATGAGGTAATATGGGTGATGGTGCTAGAATCTAGTAAACTATATACAGCTGATGATGTTAAAACTTGTTACATTCAGACTGGAACAACCTGTTTAAAGGTTCCTTGAATCATTACCAAAAAGTGAAACTATGCACTTGTAGCTGATTTTTCTGGCACCACTAAAGCTTTGATAAAATCATTTCTGTAAAGGAAAGTTTGCCTTTCACTCTTTTATGAAAAATATTGTAAAAATGAATTGAAAAAACAGTAATCACCAATAGTGTTCTGATTGTGAAACACAATCAGCATGTATAAAGCTTGACCAGGACTCACACTCGGGACCTCGAGATAAAGCTTGATCAGGACTCGCACTCTGGACCTCGAGATAAAGCTTGACCAGGACTCGCACTCTGGACCTCAAGATAAAGCTTGACCAGGACTCACATTCTGGACCTCGAGATAAAGCTTGATCAGGATTCACACTCGGGACCTCGAGATAAAGCTTGACCAGGACTCGCACTCTGGACCTCGAGATAAAGCTTGACCAGGACTCGCACTCTGGACCTCGAGATAAAGCTTGATCAGGACTCGCACTCTGGACCTTGAGATAAAGCTTGACCAGGACTCACACTCTGGACCTCAGATAAAGCTTGACCAGGACTCACACTCTGGACCTCGAGATAAAGCTTGATCAGGATTCACACTCTGGACCTCAAGATAAAGCTTGACCAGGACTTACACTCTGGACCTCGAGATAAAGCTTGATCAGGATTCACACCTGGAACCTCGAGATAAAGCTTGACCAGGACTCACACTCGGGACCTCAAGATAAAGCTCGACCAGGACTCGCACTCGGGACCTCGAGTTGTTTTACTATCGCTCCAACTGACTCAGCTACTTGGTCAGCTGAAGTGACCTGGACCAAGTTAAAGTTAAAATTAAGGGGAGGTTACTGCACATACGAAAAACCACATTTCAGCGGTACATGGATCACTTTGACCTGATTTAAAATCTCGTTAAAAATTAATTTTGTATTTTTTTGGTGAAGTGTGTATCAACAAGTTAGACTTTGTTATTACCATTGTCACTGCTGTGAAATATTTGTTTACGTTGTTTTCTAAAGAAATATTCCATAAAAAAATATCATGTTGCTACATGTATGTGTTTTACAGAATTGTAGTTGTTCGAAATTTGAGTGTTTGAAAGTAGAAATAAAGAAAAAAAACAGGGGTCAAACTCAGAACCTCGACATTGCAATGACTATACATTGTTAATGGTGCAATACAGGATTTACACATCACAATATCGAAATGAATGTCCAATTGATGGGCCTCAAAGCATATGGAAAACTTCATATTAGAAGTTATACTCTAAGCCAAAAATACTCCTTTTGTTTGCGTCATATATCTGTATAGAGTGGAGAATACTTCAAGTCAAAAAGCACCGAGTAGAACTATTTATCGTGATAATGACTTATTCAGTGAAACCCTTTACTTTAAATAAAGATGGTTGAAAAATGATAAACTCAAACAGGTTGGTGGTATTCTAGGATCTAGTTTGGGCAATAAAAGCCTGGTCTATGTATTCATTCTGTTTGGCACAACAAACATGTGTTCCCTAATGTCGGTCATTAAGTCTCTGTCGTAGCTGTAACAGTACACTGTCTGATTAGGTTCTTAGTATGTTGGTGATGTAAAGTGATAATGTCACATCACGTTAATGTCTGTCCTGGCTCACAAATTAATTTTCCAATTATTAGACAAACATATCTATAACAGACAATCCCACCTATAAAATATGATTTGATATACACATGAATTGGATGACAATGCTTCTAAGACACAGTGCCATTGACATAATGTTCCTGCACAGCTATATTACTGTATACTACAAAAGAAGTGTCCCGTGTTCATTATTACACTACACAATGTGTCATCGGATTCCCTGTAACTAATTTTATAAGCTATTTTGTACAATATTTTATAGACCCATGCTGTATCACATATAATGTTAGCTATCATATGTAATTTACTCATAAGCAAAATAGACCTTGGCAACTTGTTTCTTTACATGGAAACACAATCATAACATGTGTCAATGCTCAGACAATGCCAACAGTTGGTCTTTACTTAGAGTTCCTCAGGCTCTCACTAGGAGGATGTCAACAGTTGGTCTTTATTTAAAGTTCCTCAGGCTCTCACTAGGAGGATGTCAACAGTTGGTCTTTATTTAAAGTTCCTCAGGCTCTCACTAGGAGGATGTCAACAGTTGGTCTTTACTTAGAGTTCCTCAGGCTCTCACTAGGAGGATGTCAACAGATGGTCTTTATTCAAAGTTCCTCAGGCTCTCACTAGGAGGATGTCTACAGTTGGTTTTCATTTAAAGTTCCTCAGGCTCTCACTAGGAGATTGTCAACAGCTGGTCTTCATTTAAAGTTCCTCATGCTCTCAGCAGGAGGATGTTAACAGCTGGTCTTCATTTAAAGTTCATCAGGCTCTCACAAGGAGGATGTCAACAGTTGGTCTTTACTTAAAGTTCCTCAGGCTCTCACAATGAGGATGTCAACAGTTGGTCTTTACTTAAAGTTCCTCAGGCTCTCACAAGGAGGATGTCAACAGTTGGTCTTTATTTAAAGTTCCTCAGGCTCTCACAAGGAGGATGTCAACAGCTGGTCTTCATTTAAAGTTCCTCAGGCTCTCACAAGGAGGATGTCAACAGCTGGTCTTCATTTAAAGTTCATCAGGCTCTCAGCAGGAGAATGTCAACAGCTGGTCTTCATTTAAAGTTCCTCAGGCTCTCACAAGGAGGATGTCAACAGTTGGTCTTTACTTAAAGTTCCTCAGGCTCTCACAAGGAGGATGTCAACAGCTGGTCTTCATTTAAGATACCTATAGGTTCTCACCTGGAGATGTCAACAGTTGGTGTTCATTTAGGGTTTTTCAGGCTCTCACCAAAAGGTTGTCATCAGTTTGTTTACATTTAGTTTTTTTTCAGGCTCTCACATGGAGGATGTCAACAGTTGGTCTACATTTAGGGTTCTTAGGCTCTCTCCAGGAGATTGTCCACAGTTTGTCTGCTTTCAGTGATTTTTTCAACAGTTCACCTATGCTTTATGATTTAAAAAAATTGCTTATTTGTTGTTGTCAGTTGGTCTACATTTACTGTCACTAAGTATATTCCGAAGAGGTTTTCAATGGTGGTTCAACATTCAAGGTCACTCAGACATTCACCAGGATGATGTCAATTGTTGGTTTGCTGTCAAAGATATTTTACAAATTGCTAAGAGGTTGTCAACTCTTTTGACACTTGGTTTACATTCAGGGTTAATAAATATATTTCAAATGTTTAAATTGTGGGTCTATGTTTAATGTTACATGTATTCAGATTATTGCCATGAGCTTGTCAACAGTTGATCATCATTCATAGTTACTCAGACTTTCACTAGAAGGTATAATGTCAACAGTTTGCTTACACTCAAGGTTACTAAACATATTGCCAAGTGGTTGCTAACAGTTGGTCTACATTTAGTGTTACTCAAGGTTGTCCATTGTGGGATTAACTTAGACTGTTACTTAGACAACTGATGGTAAACACACAGTTTACATATTGATACTGCAAAAAGCGTATCTATGACTCCAGTTGTTATGACAGCGATTGTCTAGTTACCATATGCATAGCTAGCTATCAGAGTGTATGTCACCAGGAGTGGTAGGTAGGATCTACATCGTTACTGACACAAGTGGCAGTTATATGGAGTTGGCAGCTTTTTTTCTACACTGGGTGCTGTTTTTAACTTGTACAAATATAAGTGTAACATACACCCACACACACATGTCATTTCTATTACCAATTGGTAACAATAAATTGTTTTATCTTCTGGATTCTGTACTATACTCAGTAACACACACGTTAATTACTCTGTATCACCACCTGTACATGTACGATTGGTTTGGGGTGTAGCCAGGTGAACTGCTGGTGTTATATCTACCGAAATCATGTCCTCTCACTGATCTCATACAAATAAGTTTCGTACCTATCCTGAATTCCTTTTTTACTCTACAATATGCCTATTTACCATCTTCAGATGTACATGTTAGCTCACCTGCCTGAAAGTCAAATGACCTTATGCTGTAATGAGGCATCTGTTGCCATCACCTGTATTGGGTCGTCAATCCTCCATCATCAGTCATCAGTTTGTTAACTTTTTACTTAAAAGCCTACTTGTCTAGAAGGGTTGAATGGATTTTGATCAAATTTGGCATGGAACATAACTTGGCTAAGCAAACTCAACATGGTAAAAATGAAGGGTGTGGCCCCATCGGCCAGAGAGTTTGGACAATAAATTAAAGATATTGTAAAATGATTTTGATTATGCATCCCACAGCAATTTATTTGAACATTTGATCAAATGCACTGTGGAAAAGAGTACATTGCTCTTTGAGCTTGCTAATTTGATATCTGACCCAGTTATAGTAGCTTCAAAGTCATCGACCTTTTATGATTACATATTTATCATATTATATATTAAGTGCAGACCTTTGGATTTTTTCTGGTTTGTTTATTATATTTGGTCAATACAGTTCATATCAAAACAAAGATAGGTAAGATGAAAGGCTGAAGTAAAAGGGGAAAGTTCCACTGAACCGGCTGTATTCAAAATAAAGGATTAGTGATAGATAGATCTAAATGTTTAATTAACCACACATCTGGTGTGTATTAGGCCAGCTTATAGGTCCGATACAACTACTGCCACCTGTGTAAAAATATAGGACTGTACTCGGACTGCCTGTGTTGGTAGTTAAGTATTTTAAGTGTCGATCTCCTTTATATGGAATTAGAGGTACATAATTATATATAGTGGATAAGTTTCCCTTCATATTATATTTATGATTCAAGTTTTGGATTTTTCATGTTTGTGAGCCTCTGGCAAGCAAGTATGAAAAGTCCAAAACGAGTATCATAAATCTAAATGGTCCCTGGTTTGAATATTGATTGAGCTGTTGCATTTTTCCAATTATGTTACATCTTGTGCCCAATTTAACATGCTAACAGAGGGTCTTGTTAGTCAACAGGCCTAGGACAATGACCCGGGATAATGTTGAATATGTTGCAGTGTCTATAACTAAGACAGACTATAATTTTCCTTAGGTGGTATGCTTTAGGTCTATTACATACTGTTGTCTTCAATCAGTGGTATACTGTATACAGTAATAAAAGTACAACATGTTATGTCTGTAACCTGTTGTTGTTACTGGTAGGTGGTGAGCCAGGACATCTGGGAAAGAACCTCATGTACTACGCTGATGGACGAATTGTCAACCTTGGCTCCAAGACCTCTGTGGACTGCCAGGCAGGGGTAAGTTTTGTATTTCAAACAAAGGTGGCCATTGTCCAAAGGCATATTTTGTTTGTTTCTCACAAATATGGAACGGAGTCAGACTTGGTATTGTGCTTGCGTAAAGGCAAGGGTCGATCCAAGTTTAATTGTAATATACTATTTCATTAATTTACATATATTTACCAGTCGTATGGCTCTACCACTTTATAACCTTGGCACATCGAGATAATTTTATAACCAGCACAATTTTTTCTAAAGTGTTTTGTTGAGGTCAGAGTTTAACTTTGATTTCTGGCTGGGTTTAATTCATCGCATGCTATAAATGGTATGAACCATTAATGGTTAACCTGTTTACTGAGTTACTTATTTTTCCAATATTTGGGAATCCCGAGTTACATATTCCACTATAGTATATATGTAAACATGTTGATTCATATGAACAGAAATTTTAAATACCTTTTGTGTCTACATGTACCTGTACTTCACTGCCTTCAAGGTAACATGCCCTAACAGCCTATTTTATGTGTAAATTATGCCAGATAAACATTTATGTATGTGGAATATTAAAATATTTTGCATTCAAATGCTTACCTTAATTCACTTAACAAAACAACTTTGCCAAAGACAAACAACACATGGCTCACTTTTTACATAATGCGGAAGGTTTTTGGGAGATACAAACTAACGTGTCGTTACATTGACAGTGTAGTAGAATTGTGTATAACTTGAGATATTCCTCTACACTAAACTAAAGTTTGCTTCAATTTTTTGTTGGTTATCATTTATTTTTACACCAGAAGTCATAACCTTGATAAGGAAAAAAAAGGATATGTGTGTTTGACAGGTCATATTTTTCTCTTCAAATCTGCATTTTATTTTTGTACAGAATAAATTTCAAGCATTATAGTTTGATTCATTATCAACAGATATGTACATTTAAGTATCAGAATGGAAGCTACCGTATTTTGTATTAAAGGCAAGGTCATATATCTTTACTGCAATCACAGTTGACAAACCTCACATTATAGTTATATGTTTGCTTGTGATCTTAGATATGTTTTGTTATTCTATTTTTTCCCTGTCAAAAGCAAAACTGATTATTACTGATATGATGGTCTGATTTTACAGGAATAGAGATAGGGATCACAGATTGTTATTTGAACGGCATTCATTGGCTGTTTTTTGCGGTGTGTGAGAGTGAATCACCCCTGATATTCTAGCAGATGGCCTTTGATCTGGTGCAATGGAATAGACATCAGGCGTCCATCAAACGGGACTTCATGGGGTTTGTCCTACCTGTGAAATGTAAATATCAGGAGAGTGCTGTCAGGGGAGGTAATTGTGTGTGCAAAACCAGATAACTAGGCCTGATAGACTGTGATAGAATAAACATTAACCAGATGATATTTGGATGAGGCTGGCCCCCATCTCTGCACCAGGAGAACAATTCCCCAAAGCATATACCACCTTCTTTCACTTTAATTTTTTTTTTTTTTTTGTATAGCAGAAGGAATAATAAGAATTTTGCACTGTTGGATGTGAGAAGAATTAATTTGATTGAGAGTTATAAAGCCATTCTCTTCTAGTTTATTTGTAGAATAGATCAGATCCTGACTTTTCCATACAAACCAAGGTGGAAACCTCACACTGCTGCGGGAAGTGTGTTGAGAAGTTTGAAATGTTCTTTTAATGATTTTCAGGAATCTCTTAAATTGTTTAATATGATAAAACATTGCAGTGCAGTCTATTCTACGTCTTTTGACTATATTTGTTGTGAGTAATACACACAAATAAAGTTATAATGTAGTAAGCGTCCTTTGGAAATATTTTTAGAATTTTCAAAGGCCAAACAGTAAAGTCAAAATGGTTTCCATTCTAGAAAAATATTTGGATATCATTTGTAATAGGCCAGTGGGGATGTATTGGGATATCCCTGCGATGAAAACTGGCTAGGGAACCAATTAGAGGTAAAGAGGAAGTGAAGTTTATGGATGTGCCTTGATTTGTGTGTTAATATAAAAACCATGTATATATATTGGTTAAGGAGATACAGTGTAACAGTGTATGACGCAGATGTACCTTTGTCTGCACTACAGAATGAACGGGCATACTCCCATCCATCCTGACATCTCTGTGTGTGATTTACTCCGACAATCCCTTCCAGCACACCTGCCCACCTGAGTGTAGGAAGTATGTTATATGTATAGGTCCCCGTTACCTTCCAGCAGACCTGCCCACCTGAGTGTACATGTAGGTAGTATGTTATATGTATAGGCCCCCGTTAACTCACGACCTGATGTAGAATCCAGAAGTTTCCTGTTGTCTTACCATAAACCTGTAGTACCTGTCGTAAAACACAGAGTGTTTTAGTCGATGGGGACCTACGTATACACTAATGTGTTTTTGTGGTAGTGTTTTAATACAAACATGTGGGCCTCAAGTTAACGAAGTAGTCAATAATAGAGAGTGAATCAAGTTTCCTCATGCCAAGCGTACCTTAGTAGTGTTATTTGCATGCATTTAACTATTAATTTATGATAAGCTACATTCATGATTAATTTCACATAAATAGTCATTTATATCACTTAAAAGACTTTTGTTGCAGTTACATTTTACCATGAACTTTGATATCTTGTTAAAATATGTATCATTGGATAAATTTATTTAACTACTGTACATCATTAGTTGATGTTTTCCCTATTGCATGGAAGCATTTAGGGTTATCGAAATTAAAACTAAGCCTACTATGAAGGATATAAACGAGAGATTGTTTTGCCAGCAGATTAACAGAGGAGCAAAATCCTTTCTTTAGAAATTGATTCTTAGGTAAAAATTAACAAATCATGGCAAGCACTGTGTATACCTCACAAACGTTTAAGATTCATTGTTCTTATGTAATGCAAAAGTGTAAGGATTATACACACATACAACATAAAATAAATACAATCTTCATTTATTGTGTTAATTTAGGGTACAGGGCCGGGATCATGAAACGGACTTAAGTCGATAGTTTTTTTACTTAAGTCTAAAAACAGAATTATCTTGGGGATCATGAAAAAAATCTTAAGTCTTAAGTCTAAATTTCTGTCTTAAATCCTAAGACTGCTACAGGGCAGACTTAGGTCTGAATTTGATCTTAAATATGGCAGACATATTGTATGCTTCAGGTGCCCGTCTGCTCTGTGTGATGTGTGATGTATTCTCTAGAGAAGCACATATCTAAAAATTAAATGAGTTGATGAAGAAAGACAAATAAAATAAAAAATATTTCGATATGATATCAATTAATATGTATGTGTTCCTATAGTTACTTTAAATACATCTATGCTTCTTAATTAATTGCTATTTACTGGGAACCTCATATGAACGACCCTCTGATAGCTGTGATGTCTCTATGGCAGCAATGGTTATAAACTTGAACATTACATTCAGTTGATTTTCTCCCTACTTTGACTTAATAATTAAAACTTGTGAAAACCATGTTACAGCTGCAGACCATTGTTAACTTAATCTTTGACAGACGCAATAACAAACAGTATACTAAAACATGAAATCTTATAAATTGGTATCCAGAGAATTATAAATATATTAAAATGGTATTTTATTGATAAAAAATGAATTCACTATCAAAATTGGTAACGATATTTGCTAAAGAATGTGACTCTTATCAGGTGTGCATAATTGAAGACTTTCAATAGTCTAAATACGGTACATATACATCATTCGACCATTTTCCAATCCTGACTAATGCTTCATGATATATTTTTCCTAATAGACATTTGTTAAATTGGAGTTTCCGCTGGTAGCCACAGAATCTTCAAATTTGTAATTTACACTTCGTGATTCCCTGTTACATCACACAGGTAGAAGATGGATCTGTGTTGTCATAGGCAGCTAGCTATAGCTGTTCATACGAGGTGTGTATGACTGAGATCTGCTGGCATTGATCGGAGGTCTTGGAGGCTATGTGGTGCAATTCACTTAACGATATAACAAAACATGCCAAAACTGAATCACGAATCGTTAGAGTGCATTCAGCTCTCGACTTGGCTCCTGTTTGATACTTTGATATTGTTATTTTTATCTGTATTGCAGTATAGTGATAAATTATAGCCTAAATAACTCATGCTAGGTAAAGCATACTAAATATCATTACAGAAGTAAAGAATCAAGGGCCAGTTTGACAAACTTTCCTTTACATACTCCATAACTTAAATCTTACATCGGAACATGTTAATGAAGATTGGAGAAAGTTCCTTAGCTTTTACGTTAACTTCAATAATAAACCTTTCCTTTACATACTCCATAACATAAGTCTTACATTGGAAAGCATCACTTAAGTTTGGAGAAAGTCATTTGTACCTTAACTTCAATAATATATTATTCAAGAAATTTTCATCCAATGCATACAGTTTGTGTAGAATTGGTCCATTATCATAACCCTTGACTTGCAAAAAAGTGATTAAATATAAATCCTACGGATGCCAATAATATTAAGGTTTATTTTTTATTATGTTCTTTAGCATGTGCTGTTGTTTCCTTGTCACTACCCTGGATCTTAATTTAAAGATGTTGTAATACTTTTACAGTGATTTATTGGGTCCACATATTAATCTTCCTGGTGTTAATCTTGTGCCCAAGTTTCATTACTTTAAACTTTGTATGATGTTTTTGTTAAGTAATTGTTCATTTTACTGCGTAGTTCTTGATTGGTTTAATAAAGTTTAGTGTCTTCTTAACAACAAATGTGTTTAAGTAGGAGTGTAACGAATGCATGTGTAGGGCGAGCTATGTGTGTTAATTTGCATCCTGGTGATAGTGTGGATCTGATGCTGACTTTAGAGTGTTGCCTCGCTGAAATACCTAGTCGAAGGCACCCAACACAGTACTCCGACCAATCACATTATAATGGCAATTGGTTATCTAGTTGTTTGCACAGCTACGTGTAGCTAACATTAAAAAGATTTGGTATATCCAGGCCAGGGGACGGAACCCTTTGCCTTAGGCCAGGAACTGAA